ATGTGACCCATTCAAACATCTCTATTTCAATAAAAAACATGTCCCAATTATTTAGATAATCTATGCACGTTTGATAAAATGTGTACACAGCATCATTGCATTTTTTGGCTTGTATATTTTCTGATTTTTCTAATGCTAAAACCACTTTTCTAATAACAATAGGAAGAAACCCCTCATTTTTTCTTTCAAATAACTTCAGCTTTAATTAACAACTGTATCATGCACCAACTAGAGAGTTAAAAAACTATCACAAAAATCCCCATAAGAGTGTCCACCCCTTGGTAATGTCAGTGGGCCGTTTGGTTGGCGACACACTGCACTACTGCGCTCTGTGTAACAATGCAACACTGGTCATGATGGCATATACAAAACTAACTTGTTCAATATATTATTAAAAAAAATTTTTTAAACTTTGTGTCAACTTTACAAAATAAAGGACAAAATGCCTATTTTAGAAAATAAATAAAGTTAAAGGACAGAGCAGTGAAATAAAGGGTGTATGGTCACTGTACCTATAATAAATAGGTTGAAAACGTTTGAAATAAAATAATTTTATGCTCAGCAAAAATTCAGGTGTGTTGTTATAATTAATATAATGTAAACACTTTTTGACAAAATACAAATGATTCGCCTCATGTAGATTTTCTTAAAATAATATTTTCTTCAGAAATAAAGTTATTTTATTGTATTGTCATAAAACAAATTTTTTTAGCTATTTTTTTTTATAAATATAAACAGTTTATTAAATTAACTAAAACAATAAGAAATGTTCATTTTGAACTGTTGTAATTTATAAGAGAAAAACATAAAGTAATTGTTTATGTTTATATAAAAAAGAGAGAAACAAGATGAATGATATTCCTAGAATATACAATAACATTTAAAATCAGCATGGCTCGAGTTCATTGATCAAGTACGTTCATCACAGAATACACCTAGCTGCAATATATGTATAGAAATGTATAAGAACAGTTTCTTAATGATTTATCCCTTTCTATAAAATAATTTATTATTATATAAGATTTAATAAGCAGTTGTTAAAAATAATTTTTTCATACAAACATAATATATTTTTAGAACTTTCAGGTCCTGTTGATTTTCCATAAAAGATTTTGCCTATTCATAAAATAGAATTAACTTCAAAAACATTAATATACATTTAAATTTAACTATTAAAAGTTAAACAAACATACATTTATTTTAATTTTTATTACCAATGCTCATAGAAACTACAAAAGATGACAGGTGGACTCAGTAGATTAGCCAGCAGGAAAATAAAAAGAGAACAAGTGGTGCGAATGCCTTTAAGCAACATTTCTCTTCCTGTAAGTTTTCATTTTATAATTTGATAACAAACTTTTGAAAATAATTTTAAATTTATTATTAAATAATTATGAAAGAAAATTTAACACAATTATAAATACTGTATTTACTAACTACCAATTAATTTAGAAGATATGGTTATACCTTCTAAATTAATTGGTCTAAATTAAGTGAAGATAAGATGGATTATCATAACTGGCTATGTATATGCACAGTAAGTAGGAGTTACAAGTTCAAGTCCTGCTCTGGACCGATCTTATTTTCAGAATACAGGTAACCCCCATATAACACGGTAGTTACGTTCCAAAAAATTGCCGTGTTATGCGAATCCGTGTTATATGAAACAAAGAACTAATACGAAAAGGAGGGTTAGGTTCCAAAAATTAAAAAAACATGTTAGTATATTTTCATAATTAAGATAAATATCTTCATTAAAATTTTTAAGTGATACATATTAATATAAATTAAACAATGTTTTCTTCGTCATCACTAAAAACACTATTAATTAACCGAGAGCGTTTTCTTTTTGGCAAGTTATCCTTATCCTCTGAGCATTTTTCTGCATTATCTTCAGATCCATGCTTTACCTTTTGCAAAATGTATGTAATTTTAGATTGCTTGCTTCTAGTTAAAAGGT